ATTATCTAGATTTTGTAACACTATCCAACAAATTGGGAAGATGGGAGAAGTGAGGTCTATGTGGGCTGAACACCTGACTTTTTCCCACTCAGATCTATAGTTGCTTACTGAGATGAGTTCTCATAGACTCTTTCCATAGCCACCATGACAGCATAGGAAGTCTGGGATATTTACCATTTATCTTTTCTGCTCCACAATAGAGTTCATAAAATTCACGAAGGCCCTTAAGTCTACTATAATTGGTGGCAGAGCTGGGCCCAGCAACACTCTAGAGTCCTAGCAGTTTGATTTCAAATATAAGAAATTGTTAGGATGAGGGATGGGAAAGGGTTGTAGTATAGCTTGATGGGAAGTATAATGGATTTGGAGAAAGAAGACCTTGATTCAGCAGCCTGTTTCGTCATTTATTACTTATGTGAACTTGGGCTCAACCTTTTTGGGCCTCAATTTCTTCATCTGTAAAAGAGAGCGTTGGACTAAATGACCTTTAGGGTTCCAAGATTACAGTTCTTAATCCATGATTCCTATGAGAAGTCTCATTACCCTTTCTTCTAGTGGCAGGGATGCACTGGACATGGTACCCATTGATTTAGCCCAGCTCTCCCCCACTGTTCAATGGGCTCCCAAAGATAGGCTGGCACAGAGACAGAGGGGACTTTCGTTGTGACTAAGTGCAGATGTTGAAGGGTACACACTTCCAAATAAGTGGGGGGTGAGTTGGTAACCATACTCTTTTAGAATGATCCATTGCAGATAGCAGAGGGCTACTCTTCTAAAAACTGACCCACCGAGGCCTGATTTACAGTCAAGAAGGAATTGCATCTCTTACCATCATTCCTTCCTCTGCTGGAGTCAAGTCTTTGGCTAGCAATCTTGGGTCTAAACACATATGGGATGGGGAATGTCTTTGAATTCCTAAAGGAAGCCCTCAAAACTGTCCATTAGAGGGCTATTTTCAGTGACCCAGTGGACACTCTGCCCTGTTGGCATGCAACCAGGAAAACTCCATTGGCCTGGACTTTGGGGAATGCCCAAAGAAGGAGGTCCAAATGAGCAAGGAACCCAGGAATGTCCTCCACCCATCCCTTGAAAAAACCTGGGACACTCCAGGTACTATCAGGGAAACTGATACCAGCATAGCCCTAGCCAAGTGTTCACTTTCCTCAGAGTGCAGATGCATCTTGCAGAGTAGCCATTTCCTCAGACGACTGTGGTAATTGTCACCAAAGTTCCAGAATCTCTGGAACCCCCTACTAGAGAGTTTTCAATATATATGGCTCTAATGTTGTTAGCCATAGGCTCTCTGCCTTTGGAGCCAGATCACTCTGTAATATCCCTGCTACCAGAGCTGATAGTTAGAAACAGTGCCAAGGCTGGAGAGGCATCATCCCCTTCTGGTGAAGATGGGCAGAGAAGAGATAGGATCCAAATGAGAAAAGTCATGTGCCAGGTTGGTGCTAGTGTTCCTTTGAAATGCCCAAGTGCAAAGGAGTTAAAAACAAAGTGGGAAATTGGTTGTAGGAGCAAAAATTAAAGCCCATAAAAGGAGATGAGATTCCAAGGAAGGTAACTTTGTTTGACTCAACCGGTATCCCCAAAGCTTCTGCCTTTGTAGTGACTGTGCAGCTTTCCTGCCCTGACCCTCTGGTGATAATATCTATCTGGTCATTGGTTGGGTTGGCCATACCCCTCCTTGACTTAGTAATGCTAAAAAGATTGTAGACCCTAGTACTATCTTCAATTTTCAATGGCAGAGAATAGTTTCAAGTGGCTTGGAGACAAGGCACTGGTCTGCTTGTGATATGTGGGAGTGGGAGTGGTCATGTACCATGTCATGGTACCACGTCAAATCTGGAGTTCTTCTTTGTATTAAAGCATCATCCTATATCCTCTTGAGGGGCTCATTTTGCTTGACTTGATTGGGCTCCCAGGAGATATGGCTGGCAGCTATGGTCTATGACTGGTCTTCTCTATCCAAGGCTGTGAAAGTAGTAGATTTAGGAATTGGAAACATCAGTTTTTACAGAGGAAACTCATCTATGATGTGAAGTGGGGGAGGATGTCCACACACTCAGGTATCACTTGTGAGAACCCACTTGACTCAAAGCATTGTGATCCTCAAGTCATCAACAGGAGCTGAAACCCTGGGTCCTTGAAAACCACAGCCCCAAAAGGATAGTCCAATTTCCCCTCTGTGAATTATTGGCGTCAGGAGAAGTGACCAGAGCAGAAACGAATGCTGTTTCCAGTTGAAGGTGCTCCTGACATTTTGCTAGAGGTATAGGAGTTGGGGAGGAAACTCAACCTGGACTCTGATAAGGCTTCGATTATTCTTTCAATCAATTAAGCCATTACAGCCAGTAGAATGAAATGAATGATGGACTTGGGTTCAAGTTCAGGCTTTGTCACTTACTAGTTGTGTGACCCTGGGAGAGTCATTTTACCTCTTCTGAGCCTCAGTTTCCTCATCTGTAAAATGGGCTAATAATTATACTTTCTACCTTACGGGGTTATCATGAGGATCAAAGAAGATACAATATACATAAAGCACTCTATAAAGTGTTATATAAATGTTAGCGGCTGAGTTTGTGTCTGAGTGGCCTAGGTGAGGCCTTTCTACTAAGTAAAAACAATGGTTAAAGATGCTTATAGAAAATGGAGAAAAAAAACCTTTTAACATTCTAAATGTTTTACTTTTATTAAGTAAGCTTCTCTGGGGCCCCATGAGTGCAATTAATCTTTTATCACTCACTTCAAATCCCAACCTTGGGGTATTATCTGACTACCATGGCTAGAATTGAATGTGCTATAGTGGAAAGAGAACTGAATTTGGAGTAAAGGGCCTGGCTTTTAGTTGCAGTTACTATCTATATGGTTTTGAGCAAGTCCCTTAAAATCTCTGGGCCTCATTTTCTATACACGGAAAATTAAAAGGGTTAAACCAGATGATCTAATTCTCAATCCAAATTCATGTGTAACTGATTTCTTTTTCCTCATTCATTATCAGTAGACTTCAGAGGCAGCTAGGTGACACTATGGATAGAGTACTGGAGTGGCAATCAGGAAGACCTAAGTTCAAATCCAGTCTCACACAATTACCAGTTTTGACCCTGGGTGTGAGAAATGATTCATTTGGAACTTTATCTATTCCAATTAGTATTAATTAATTTGATATGATTCCATAGGGGTAGTGATTATAAGTTCTGTGTATTAGGCCACAGAACTGTGAACTGCAGATTATAAGTTCATAGAAATCTAACTAGAGGCCCTCTACCCTTGTTTTTCCTTATTATGGTGACCAAGCCTAGCACAGCAAAGGTGACTCAATTACATGGAAAGTCCCCCAACTTATTTTTGTACCTCCCCACCACTCTCTTGACCAACATGAGCAGGTGATCATCTTATGACCATCTTATGATCATTTAGTCAGTGGAGATCCTCCATGCTTTTCCCAAGCCAAGACCCTCCCCCTGCTGACATATCATTTTTTGGCTAATATGTCATTTTGGGCCCTTGAAGCAAGGTCTATCAACCAATGAGATTCTGTATTTTGTGTAGCCCCTCTAGAGTGTTCAGGTATCAAACCTGGTATCAAGCCTTAAAAAAATAAGGCCATGGAGGAAGTGGGTATCTCAGATCATGAGCAAGATCTGAGTTCCACTTCATTAGAGGGGATCATGGACCCTTTAATAAAGTGTCATTGGCTCTGAGCTCTGGCTCATTTCCTTTTATTGTATGTTGGACGATTTTGAACTCCACATGGGCAAGTCACTTAACCTTTCTCAGCCTCAGTTTCCTCATCTGTAAAATACGGATAATAATAGTACCTACCTCTCAGGGTTGTTATGAGGAGAAAATGAGATAAGATATGTAAAGCAGATCACAAACCTTAAAGAGCTCTATAAATACTAGCTATTTTTATTATTTGGCATCTATGGCTGTCTTGTATTGCTAATTATTTTTGTTACATACGTGCAGTTGTTTAGTAGTTATATATGTGTAGTTGATTGCTATCCTTTACTTTGAGTCAAGGTGAAGTATGTCGACTGTGGTTGATCAGACTGATATGAACTCAGAAGGCTCTATCACAGGTTGGGCACAAGTGAACATTTAGGGTGGATTCTCTAAATTTGCGCGGCTCATGTTTCTTTTGAACTACTTCAATTCTGCTTTGCTCATAGAACACAGTGCCTTATCTGATGAGGGTACACTATGCTGGGTGGTCCTGTGCAGTGTCTCCCATATCATGTAATCAATTCCAAAGTTCTTCAGAGAGACCTTGAGAGTGTCCTTGTATTGCTTCATATACATACAAACATATATTTATGTACTAGGCTCCTGTTAAGTCCAAAGGTGCTAATAGTAGTTGGACATACAAAGTAGTATATGATGCAATGGCTTGTCTCAAGGAATTTATGGTCTCCCTGGGAAGATATTTAAATGTACTGACAGAAATCTCATGGTGTAGTCATTGAGTACTGGACTTGGAGATAAGAAGACCTGAGTTCAAATCC